TGAGATGGTATCTCATTGTGGTTTTGATTTGCATTTCTCTAATGACCAGTGATGATGAGCATTTTTTCATGTCAGTTGGCTGCGTAAAAGTCTTCCTTTGAGAAGTGTCTATTCATATCCTTTGCCCACTTTTTGATGGAGTTTTGTTTTTTCCTTGTAAATTTTCTTGTAAAGTTCTTTGTAGATTCTAGATATTAGCCCTGTGTCTGATGGATAGATTGCAAAAATTTTCTCCCATTCTGTAGGTTGCCTGTTCACTCTGATGATAGTTTCTTTTGCTGCGCAGAAGCTCTTTAGTTTAATTAGATCCCATTTGTCAATTTTTTCTTTCGTTGCCATTGCTTTTGGTGTTTTAGACATGAAGTCTTTGCCCATGCCTATGTCCTGAATAGTATTGCCCCAGTTTTTTTCTAGAATTGTTATGGTCCTAGGCCTTACATTTAAGTCTTTGATCCATCTTGAGTTGATTTTTGTATAAGGTGTAAGGAAGGGGTAAAGGGATCAATGCAGCAAGAAGAGCTAACTGTCCTAAATATATATGCACCCAATACAGGAGAACCCAGATTCATAAAGCAAGTTCTTAGAGACCTACAAAGAGACTTAGACTCTGACACAATAATAGTGGGAGACTTTAACACCCCACTGTCAATATTAGACAGATCAACGAGACAGAAAATTAACAAGGATATTCAGGACTTGAACTCAATTCTGGACCAAGCGGACCTAATAGACATCTATAGAACTCTCCACCCCAAGTCAACAGAATAGACATTCTTTTCAGCACCTCATCGCAGTTATTCTAAAATTGGCCACATAACTGGAAGTAAAACACTCCTCAGCAAATGCAAAATAACGGAAATCATAACAGTCTCTCAGATCACAGTGCAATCAGATTAGAATTTAGGATTAAGAAACTGACTCAAAACCGCACAACTACATGGAAACTGAACAACTTGCTCCTGAATGACTATTGGGTAAATAACGAAATGACGACAGAAATAAAGATGTTCTTTGAAACCAATGAGAACAAAGACACAACATACCAGAGTCTCTGGGACACATTTAAAGCAGTGTGTAGAGGGAAATTTACGGCACTAAATGCCCACAAGAGAAAGCAGGAAAGATTTAAGATTGACACCCTAATATCAACATTAAAAGAACTAGAGAAGCAACAGCAAACAAATTCAAAATCTATCAGAAGACGAGAAATAACTAAAATCATAGCAGAACTGAAGGAGATAGAGACACGAAAGTCGCTTCAAAAAATCAATAAATCCAGGAGCTGGTATTTTGAAAAGATCAACAAAGTAGATAGACTGCTAGCCAGGCCCATAAAGAAGAAAAGAGAGAAGAGTCAAATAGATGCAATTAAAAAATGATAAAGGGGATATCACCACTGATCTCACAGAAATACAAACTACCATCAAAGAATACTATAAACACCTCTATGCAAATGAACTAGAAAATCTAGAAGAAATGGATAAATTCCTGGACACATACAGCCTCCACAGTCTAAACCAGGAAGAAGTTGAATCCCTGAATAAACCAATAACAAGTTCTGAAATTGAGGCAGTAATTAATAGCCTACCAACCAAAAAAAGTCCAGGACCAGATGGATTCACAGGCAAATTCTACCAGAGGTACAAAGAGAAGCTGGTACCATTCCTTCTGAAACTATTCCAAACAATAGAAAAAGAGGGAATCCTCCCTACTTCATTTTATGAGGCCAGCATCATTCTGATACCAAAACCTGGCAGAGACACAACAGAAAAAAGGAAATTTCAGGCTGATATCCCTGAAGAACATGGATGCAAAAATTCTCAATAAAATACTGGCAAACCGAATCCACCAGCATATCAAAAAGCTTATCCACCACGATCAAGTCGGTTTCATCCCTGGGATGCAAGGCTGGTACAACATATGCAAATCAATAAACGTAATCCATCACATAAACAGAACCAATGACAAAAACCACATGATTTTCTCAATAGATGCAGAGAAGGCCTTTGACAAAATTCAACACCCCTTCATGTTAAAAACTCTCAATAACCTAGGTATCAATGAAATGTATCTGAAAATAATAAGAGCTATTTATGACAGACCCACAGCCAGTATCATAGTGAATGGGCAAAAACTGGAAGCATTCACTTTGAAAACCTGCACAAGACAAGGATGCCCTCTCTCACCACTCCTATTCAACATAGCATTGGAAATTCTGGCCAGGGCAATCAGGCAAGAGAAAGAAATAAAGGGTATTCTGGCGGGGTGTGGTGGCTCACACCTGTAATCCCAGCACTTTGGGAGGCCGAGGTGGGTAGATCACGAGGTCAGGAGATTGAGACCATCCTGGTTAACACGGTGAAACCCCGTCTCTACTAAAAATACTGCATTGCACAAGGATGCCCTCTCACCACTCCTATTCAACATAGCATTGGAAATTCTGGCCAGGGGCAACTGTGCAAGAGAAAGAAACAATAAAGGGTATTCTGGCGGGTGTGGTGGCTCACCTGTAATCCTAGCACTTTGGGAGCTGAGGTGGGTAGATCACGAGGTCGAGATTGAGATCATCCGTGGAAGTTAACACGTGAAACCCCGTCTCTACTAAAAATACAAAAAAAAAAAAAAAAAAAAATTAGTTGGGCATGGTGGCAGGTGCCTGTAATCCCAGCTACTGGGCAGGCTGGAGGCAGAGAATGACGGGAATGGAGGCAGAGCTTGCAGTGAGCCGAGATTCACGCCACTGACTCCAGCCTGGGCTATGGTAGAGCAAGATTCACACAAAAAAAAAAAAAAAAGAAAAGAAAAGAAAAGAAATAAAGCGTATTCCAATAGGAAGAGAGGAAGTCAAATTGTCTCTGTTTGCAGATGACATGATTGTATATTTAGAAAACCCCATCATCTCAGCCCAAAATCTCCTTAAGCTGATAAGCAACTTCAGCAAAGTCTCAGGATACAAAATCAGTATGCAAAAATTACAAGCATTCCTATACGCCAATAATAGACAAACAGAGAGTCAAATCATGAGTGAACTCCCATTCACAATTACTACTAAGAGAATAAAATACCTAGGAATACAACTCACAAGGGATGTGAAGGACCTCTTCAAGCAGAACTACAAACAACTGCTCAAGGAAATAAGAGAGGACACAAATGGAAAAACATTGCATGCTCATGGATAGGAAGAATCAATATCATGAAAATGGCCATACTGCCCAAAGTAATTTATAGACTCAATGCTATCCCCATCAAGCTACCACTGACTTTCTTCACAGAATTGGAAAAAACAACTTTAAATTTCATATGGAACCTAAAAAGAGCCCACAGAGACAAGACAATCCTGGGAAAGAAGTACAAAGCTGGAGGCATCACACTACCAGACTTCAAACTATACTACAAAGCTACAGAAAACAAAACAGCATGATACTGGTACCAAAACAGATACATAGACCAATAGAACAGAACAGGGTCCTCAGAAATAATACCACATACCTACAACCATCTGATCTTTGACAAATCTGACACAAAAAAGCAATGGGGAAAAGATTCCCTATTTAATAAACAGTATTGGGAAAACTGGATAGCCATATGCATTTCTGAAAAATTTTTTGTAAGCCTTCTTTTGCATTTTGATGAAGCTTTAAGAACTCCTCTCAGGTCCAGGGGGAGATGGTAAACACTAACCACTGGCAGTTATCATGACAGTAACCCTAGTGTAGGTTCTGGGGATGTTGTAGGGGGTTTCAGTTCAATCGTTTTCTTCTGTTTAGAATTTGTATTGAAATTATTTCACCATGCTGGGCACAGTGGTTCACACCTGTAATTCCAGCACTTTGGGAGGCCAAGACGAGTGGATCACCTGAGGTCAGGAGTTCGAGATTAGCATGGCCAACACGATGAAACCCCGTCTCTACTAAATATACAAAAATTAGCTTGGCATGGTGGCAGGCACCTGTAATCCCAGCTACTCGGGAAGCTGAGGCAGGAGAATCACCTATATCTGGGAGAGGGAGGTTGCAGTGAGCCGAGATTGCAACACTTCAGTCTAGCCTAGGCAACAGAGAGAGTCTCTGTTTTTAAAAAAAAAAAAAAAAAAAAAAGACATTTCTGACCCTTCACCTCCTCAGATCTGGTTCAGACAACCTCCTCCACTACTCTGCATTTTGCTAATGGTATAAAAGTGGCCAGACACGGTGGCACATGCCTGTAATTCCAGCACTTTGGGAGGCTGAGACGGGTGGATCACTGGAAGTCAGGAGTTCAAGACCAGCCTGGCCAACATGGTGAAACCCTGCCTCTATTAAAAATACAAAAATTAGCCGAGCATGGTGGCATGCACCTATAGTTTCAGTTACTGGGGAGGCTGAGGTGAGAGAATCACCTGAGCCCAGGAGGTTGAGGCTGCAGTGGGCCAAGATCCTACTACTGCACTCCAGTCTCAGCAACCAGAGTGAGAACCCGTCTCAAAAAAATATAAATACAAATAAAAAATTTCGTTTAATTATCCAGACATGGTGGCACGCACCTGTAATCCTAGCTACTCAGGAGACTAAGATAGGAGAATCGCTTGAACCCAGGAGGTGGAGGTTGCAGTGAGCCGAGATTGTGCCCCTGCCCTCCAGCCTGGGTGACAGAGTTAGACTGTCTCAAAAAAAAAAAAAAAAAAAAGTTTTTAATAAAAAAGTACCATTCATCACCAATGAGGAAATAATAATGATTCCCTGTGGACACAGGGCTAACCACTGTTTATAATGAAAAGATTATGTCCCTTCAGAGTTCTCCCAGGGCTTAGGTGACATTGGTTGTGAGCAGGAGTAGTGGATTTCAAAATAATACACCTAAATTACTCTAAGAACAAATACTTCTTTTGACTTCACTTACAATTTTATACAAAAGCAGAAGTTACTGAAGGTTACTTATCCTTCATATTTACTACCATCTTCTTACCCCAACCCCCATGTCTGTGTGTAATTAAAGGAAGCTTGTTAAGTAAGCTACCCACTTAGTGCTTGGAACAAGAGAATAGTGTGTGTTGGGAGTTGGGGGACTGCTTGTGTGAAATATTTCTCTCTTCTGGGTTTAAAACTTAGTCTTTGCTGCCAATCTGTTAACAGATAGTTTGTAAATCAAGTAGAAGAAAAAATATAAATTAGCTTTCTAATAAATCTGAAATTACAAATGTGAAACAAAGCAGGGAATAAATACTTGACCAAAAATGTATAAGTAAGTGAGTGTTGGGCGATCATAATTTTTAAATATCTCTTGATTATTTTGGTATGAAAGTTCTATTTCAAAGTTCTTCAAAATAATGCCTAATGTTCCTAAGTACTGTGTTCCAAATATATGTAAATACAAGATGGAAACTGTGAAATATATGCCTTCCAAAAAGAAAAAAAACCCTGACATTTTATCTGTATATATTTAATAGATTTATAAAGAACATGCGTACACAAATATCAATATAGATGTACCAGCAAGGAAGATTTAGAACACATAACTATGTGGCAGGGTTGGAAAGAACATAATTCTTTCCCAGAAGGGGTGTGGGGAACTATACTTAATCAGCTACCAGTTACAAAATAACTAAGTCATTTCTCATCAAAATACGTCTCTACTGCATATTGTGGTTGATACATTTTCCATGTTTTTTGTTTATGAAGATTATCCAATTCATTTCTTTGTAGATAAAGCCTAAGAATAGAAAACAAATTATTACATTTTATTTTGGGGCTAACTGAAAAGCCATGCAGTAGGCACCCTTGTTAGAGCTTGAAGAAACAAACAAAAAAAAGACTTCCTCACCATGAATAGAACCTCAGCCCTTTTTCTGTGTCTCAGTTGGCTCCTTCCACCTTTTCAGTGAGACTTAAAAATACCTTAATCTTCAGCAACACATCAGTAACACGTGCTACTG